GAGGGAGGGAAGAAGGAAGGAAGGAAGGAAGGAAGGAAGGAAGGAAGGAAGGAAGGAAGGAAGGAAGGAAGGAAGGAAGGAAGAAAGGTGGAATCCAGAAATCATCAGTCTCCTTTAGGCTCATGGAGTCCTAATTCTACTCCCTTTGTGGCAGAGTCTCAGCTGTTCTGACATCAGGTTGGATTGCTTTCCACCTTGCCCCCAGGAGAGGAGGTGCTTAACCCCTACCCAGGTCTGCTCCCCTGTCCAGGACCTCTGCTCTAGCAGGACCACTGTTTCTGTCTCTTAAGCCTTCAGAAAGACAAAGGGCATTGTTTCAATCATGCCCCCATCTCTGCCTGTGTACAGTGTCTCTAATCTCCCACCCTCCACCTGTCTGTCAGAGGTAGCAGGTGAGGGCTTTCCTGATTTATATTTTTCTACTTTATTAGTGGGCTCTTAATATTTTGTTTATCTTCTTACAAATGGATGATGACAGAGTCAAATGCTAGTATCACACACTATGACTTACTGTAAATGAGTCGCTCTTGCCTCTTTAGTCATGAAGGTCAGAGATCCTGGCTCTTTCTTCCCTTCGAATTTACTCTCTCCCTTAATTTTTCCTGACATATTGCCTTTAAGCATGTTCCACAAGTTTATCATTCCTGACCAGGCATCATGGAACCTTCATAGTGAGTCATGACAAAATCCTTCTCTGGTCAACTTCTCAGCCGACCTTTTCAAAATGGCCAACGACACCTATTCTGTTACTTTGTTTGTGAACATACATGTCTCAGCACATTTAAAGTAAAATTTAGACCACTACCAAATTCCAAAAATGTTTATTGTTCTTCTCTAAAAAGTTACTTTTATCATGGAATATTGGTCTATTTACCTGTGCCATAAGTTAAATTATAAAACAAAATATTGGAAGAAAAGAAAGTACAGAAAGAAAAGAAAGAGGTAATGAAGAAGGGTTAGGAGAAGAGAAAGAGGCAGGGAGAGAAAGAGAGTAGGAAAAAAGCAAAAGAAGAAAGACAAAA